CCTAGAGTAGAAGTTTTCACAGATCTCACATTTGATGCTTTCAAATGATTAAACCCCTATATATATGTATATATATATATGTGTGTGTGTGTGTGTGTGTATAGGGGCAAGTTCTTTTGTTAACTCAATTTTTAATGTTAACTATGTTAACCTAGTGGACGAATAGGATTCATTGTTTGTTGTAGATTTCAATAAGGTATCGATTATGGGATGGAGGACACAATGGTAAATCATACATACACATAAATTACATTTTGTATTAATTAATGAGTGGTTACTATTTAATAGTTGCTTGATTGTTGGGATTATGATCACTTATTCAAATTACACAATGTATTATCATTAAATAAAATTAATCTTGATCAAATTGTTAATCTAAATGAACAAATCACAAACAAACATTTTCTAAAATGTGAATATTAAACAAATCATAAGTAAACATTTTTGAAGCGCGTTGTTAATTTCGTTTACGGTGATATGAATGGTATGAAGGAAAATATCGCGAAATCACCATTGGACATATTTCTATAAGTATAGAATGTTCATTGTCTGTCAATATATGAAAAGATGGAACATTCAAGTGAACTTTTATGAACATATGTGAATATTGATCAAATATTAATAAACACAATCACATTGTTCATATATCAATAAACATAATCACATTGTTCATAAGTGAACTCATGTTCATATAAGGGGAGATATCCATGTGTATAATAATATTCATAATGACGAGAGATTTTTTTATTAATGACGATAAATTAATGTTCATATGAACATTAATGTCATTAATGGACAGTTACAAATTTTATGAATTTTTTTTCAATAATACCCTTGTTCATATATGTTCATCTTAGATGATAATGTATTATATTATTAGCTATTACAAAATTGTCATCATAAATGTCATCCATTGATTCACAAGATGAATGGTTGTGATGAGTTTACAAAATTAACACCAAAAATTGAGTTAACAAAAGAACTTGGTCATTGATCTTTGAAATTTGTGGCTTCATTCATGACATAAAGTGTAATTAATTGTACACATAGACAAGATAACATAAGTGAACAATATTTACAAGGGGTATTTTGGGAAAAGATTTTAGTTGTCCATTAATGACAATGGGATGTTTTGTAACCACTCATTAATAACAATGAGATGTTTTGTAACTGCCCATGAATAACAATGTAACTATCCAAGAATAATCTCGTCATTGAATCAAAAACCAACAGCAAGATCTCCGACACCAGATTATTCTACAGTTTTTTTTGTTAATGGTTCATATGTGAACAAGTATTCGATATTATGGAAATTGTTCATGTGTGATCAGGGGTGTATATGGAAAAAAGTCGTAAATGACACAAGTGTGCATATATGTCAATCCGTGTTTGTATTTGACACAAGGGTTCATATATGTCAAGTTGTGTTTCTAATTTAGAAAAGGGTTCGTATATGTCGAGTTGTGTACATATGATTGTACAAATGTTCATATATTGAATTTGTATCCATATGGTCACACATGTTCATCATCTTTCGTATGTTCATTTGGGTCAATATGTGTTCATATTTATACCAAGTGTACATATAGGTCAATCTATTTTCGTAATTGACACAAGTGTTCATATATGTCAATTTGTGTTCGTAATGGACATAAGGGTTCATATATGTCGAGTTGTGTTCATATGGTTGTACGAATGTTCATATATGTAAATTTATGTTTTTATGGTCACACATGTTCATCATCTTTCGTATATTCATTTGGGTCAATATATGTTCATATTTATACCAACTGTACAATCTGTTTTCGTAATTGACACAAGTGTTCATATATGTCAATTTGTGTTCGTAATTGACATAATGGTTCATATATGTCGAGTTGTGTTTATATGGTTGTACAATGTTCTTATATGTGAATTTGTGTTCATATGATCACACATGTTCATCATCTTTCGTATATGTCAATTTGAACGATACCGAAAATTTTACTACCGTGTCTCCTCCACCAATCACAATTTCATAAACATTAGAGATAAAAAATCAATACTAAAAAAATAACAAGATTAAGGGTTACGTTAATCTAGATATATATATATATATATATATATATATATATAGAGAGAGAGAGAGAGAGAGAGAGAGGCGGGTTTCATTGAAAACCGCTTAATTCTTAAAAACCGTGTAAACCGAATTCGACCAATAGGAAAATTTCTTTTTTTCTAATTAAATCTAATCATTAAGGGTTGAATTATCATTTACATTGTTTTTGATTAAATATGGAAGGTCTTAAGTTATGTATTAAGGAAACGTAATAAAGAAAATGTTAGAAATGGTAATAGTTAAATGCTTATTTAATTTATCTTTTTGAAAATTAAATATGTTTTGTTTGTTTTAAGGATTTATACAGATTTAGACTATGAAGATCAAAATTGTTTATTGGTTGATCCACAAAATTAGTACCATATCCTATAAAATACTTCACAACTAAAACAGAGATTCATGAACCGAAAACATTATCATAATTGATGAAACTGTTTCATTTTTGTTTAATTCTTTTTTGGTGATTTTGTTCACTTAATGGTTAAGAAAGTCTGTAATGGTAGATGCATTAACGTTATGAAACGTGTTCATATTGCAAAAACTTTGTCGATGAAATTTGGTGCATAACGACAATGAAACCATTTCATAATTGTTGAGAACATGTTGTGTAATTGGCAAACAGTGAAACCATTTTGTAATTAGATTTAAACGGATCCATCTACTGAAAACATGAAAATGACAAATGTCTTATCTAGCAATACGTTGATTTGTGTATTGACAAATTGTGAATCGCCTCTTACCTGTCAATGAAACATATTAAACTCGTCAATGGCTATCGATTTCATTGTTCTGTGCATAGAAAAATCATACCTCCATTATCTCCCACAATTTTCCTTTAAAATACTCAGTTTCGATCGATTAAGGTAAGCGTATATTTCTTAATCGAATGGAATCAAGCTCCTGATTGAAAGGAAGGGAAGCGATGAAAGGGGAAATATTCAAGGAAGGTGTCAATTAGCAAGTGTATGATCCTATTTTCTGTTTTACCTTTTTGCCGTTTTTCGGATTATAAAATATTTTTTTTATTTCTTAATATAAACTAAACTAATCTTGACCATTGATCAAGAAAATGGATGAATGAGATTGNTGAGAGTGATTTTCATTTGATCACTCATCTCTCTCTCTCTCTCTCTCTCTCTCTATATATATATATATATATATATATATATATTAAAAGAACAACAATAATGACAACGTAGATTCATATATCAAAGATAATATTAACTCTTATTAATTTAATATATAACTGTGATCATCGATTTATTTTGCTAACTTCAATAATTTAAAAAAGAAATTATTGTCATCGTGCAACGCACAATGTCAAACACTAGTGCCTCTTAAATCAAACCCGCCTTAGGTCTCGATTTTGCTCTGAAGCTCCTCGATATCGCTCTCAAGCTTTCTCATCTCTCCTCAAGCCTCTATGTTATGTTAAAATCTAGAAATGTTTACCCTACCATCATTTGTAAAAATCTTGATTTTTTCCCTAAATATGAAGTTGTTACCTATTCAATCTCCAGATCTATTTCTTTGTTCCATCTTCCTTTCTCCATTTCTTTCCTTCTACATTTCTGCATCTTGTATATGTTATATTTATTTTCTTCTGTTTTTCCGCATCTTATATATGTTATATGTATTTCTGCATCTGTATTTATCCATTTCTTTCCTTCTGTATTTCTGCATAGTCTTTGCAAAAGGAATTGATGTTTCTACATCTGTATCAAGACGCATTTTTTATTAGATTAATCAATTCAAAAACGCACGTCCAAACCACGGTATAATAAGAGCATGTACAGTATATTGTAATAAGATATAAAAAATAATTTTTTTAATAGAAATTAAATCAGACTCGAACGGTTACTCTATTTTAGTAATTACTAGAAGAGTACTCATGCAATAAAGCGAGACACATCTTGATTTTAATGTTCTATTTTATTATTTGTCTCTGTCGATGTTATAATACGATTTTATGTGTTTTTAATAAAGCAATAATGATTTTGTTTTAGAATAAAATATAAATTTGAAGATATCATAAAAATTTGAAAAAATATATTAATGTTAATATCAAATCAACTATTTAAAAGTTTTCATTTTTTATGTAATTTCTTTAATTTTTTTATTATAATTTAATTTAAGTTTAATAACGAAATGACTTATTTTTGGTTTAATAATATAACATTTTATAAAGATAATAAATTAAGTATTCTGTTAAAACTCAATGATTATCTTATTTATATTTTAGATTTTTTATATTTAAAATGAGATGTTTATCTTGCATTTGATTATGTATATCTGCAGTTACACACAAATTCAAATATGAAGCTTTAATAAGTTGTATTTATGCATAATCTACTTGTAATCTTGAGTTTTAAGTAATATGCATTAATAAACAATACTTTACGTATATAAAATGATTTTTAAGAGTTTTTGTCAAATGATTTATAATATAGTATGGATAACATTAATTATATTAATAAAATATTTAATAAAAATTGTTTTTTTTATCCTACGTATTTAACTTCAATAAATTTAATTAATTAAAATATTATTTTCGAAACAACAAAAATGCTAAAATCCCTGAGTTTTCTCTCTCGGCGATGCTCTGTTTTCCGGTGGGCAAATCGCGGTGATCCCTCTTCGCCGGCCAAAACCTCACTTTTCGTCGGTGATATTGCCTGCGTCTAATCTTAGATCTTGTTACTCCGTATTTGAATCGCATTGCAAAATCTCTTATTAGGGTTTTGTCCTTTCATTTATCGAGGGAAGAAGGTGATCAAGACTCGAGAGGATGAATAATAAGAAGCATCTTAGAGATCATCATCAGTTATATCATACCGTCTTGAATGAATCATAGTTACTCGCGATCAATACCGAACTGCTAAAACTAAGGTCGATGTGAACCTCTGTTTCCTGCCCCGGGGATCCTCAAACCCTCGATTATCCATTCATTCGTAGAAGCAAGCCAATGGTGGAGGCGATTCACGAGGTTGCGATTTATATTCATAGGTTTCACAACCTAGACCTCTTTGAGCAAGGGTAATAACGTGTATCATCAATTTCTTATTTATTTGGCTGAAGTTCTTATGGTTGAATCAATTGTTGTACTCCCTCCGTCCTGAAAGAAGACTTTGATTATGTCAGACCTTTTCGAAATGTGAAACTCATTATATAGCCTTGCCAGCAAGTTAACTGCAATTTTATTCAATTTATAGTATTGTCAATCGTCGCAAAGTTCAATGCAGTTAGCTTATTGACTATTTTGCAACCATACCAATTTAATGTTTGTTTATTTTGATCGACTTTGAAAGCAACCCGATTGACATCTGAAAACAAGATGTGTTTTCTTTTTTCTTTTCTGTGGGAGTATGTTTGAAACAAGTGTGTATCGATGCATCATTTTGTTGTATATAGGTGGTATCAGATCAAGATTGCCATGAGGTGGGAAGATGGTGGCTGCACAACTTCACCTGGTTCCCCTTCAAGAGTTGTTCAATATGAAGGTACTCTGATGTTTAGCTCGTTATGCACATTTATCTCATTGTAGTCTAGCAAACTGATCTCAATGTTGAAAGTTGAAAGATACAATTAGTTATGTACAGGGCTGGTACTAAGATTTTTGATGCCTTGTGCGAAAATCATAAAAAATACCCTTTTAAGTCTATTTTTAGTCCAATGGAACATGTGATTTTTTAAAGAGTTTAGAACATATTCATCCTCATGTTGATTTTTATTAATAATAATAATAAAACATATAATGGGGTGGGGTGGGGTGCGCATAAAAACCAAAACCCTAAATACAAAATATAAAATGATAAAAGGATAAATCGTGAATTAAGATCGTAGTTCCTTCTTTTCTAGTTTTTCCTTTTTCCAAATTGAACTTAGCAAAATAAAAACTTTATTTAAATATACAGGACTTAAAAGACAAGTAAAACTATAATTAATTTTTAACTAAAATAGTAAATTGTATCCAAATTACCGTCATAATAAGCAAAAAGTAAAACTCAAAAGTTACAGATCTAACGACTAAATGCTAAGGGTCTATCTGTTAGCAGCTTAATAGGATTAATGGAACTAATAACTTATTCACTCAACTATGCATGATTGTTTCGTAATGGCTTAACGATATAGAAAATGACTTACCAGTAAGCTTCTAGTAGGAGCTTTATATAGAAAGCCATGTTTATTTTCCAAACATGTCCCTTCCAACTAAAGAAACGCTCCTTACATATGCGAAAAAAACTCTCCGAAACAAAAAAATTTCCAACTTATACAAACAAATTAATTTATACAGACAACTTTATCCATATATAACTTAATAAAAAACCAATCAAACGACCCCTAAATCTAATGCGGTAATGTCAAACCTCAAAGTAAACAAAAGTCAAAAGAACAATAATAAATTGTAAAATTCATAATCTATGTTATTGTGCATTGCAAAGAACAAGTGACCAATAATTAAAACAATGTCACACTGTTGTTAATGTTGTGCTGTGTGCTCCAACTATGTTGACACAATGATGCTCATGTGCAATGAAAATTTCAATTCTCAGATATTTCAACATGCAAGAGGAAGACTCATTATCAAAATGACAAAAGCCTCTTAGCCTTAGCCTAGTAGGTCAGTAACCCACGACCACATGACCCAACTTTATAATAATCAGTTAGAAGTTTAGATTTTTTTTGCAAAAAGATTTAAAGATTCATAAATCATAATACGACTCATACAACAATTCGGTAAGTTCAATCAACAGTAGAAATCAGTCATTCGAGATTTCCATCTTTGATTTCTTGAATCTAATTTCATGACCTTAATTGGCTGGAAAGAGAACTCCATGCCTTGAAAATCGAAATAGTCAAACTTTGAAGAACAATAGAAATTAGATTGAGTTGTTGGAATGATGACGTTAATCGGTTCACAATGTGCATTCAATATTCATCACTACTAGGCCTTTGACCTGTTTTTATAGTTAAAACTAAGTTGTCCAAAATTATTAAACCAAAAACTAGTAATAGATGAAAACTTGATGCCCCTTTAGACTTTAATGCCCTGTGCAGCCGCACGGGCTGCACGTGGCCAAGGCCGGCCCTGGTTATGTACTATACACAGACATATCTTTCTTTTCTTCGAAGGAGAGTCCTTATGGACTTCATCTGATCCAAATCTAATCCAGTTTAGTGATTTAAGTACAAAAAATATTCAAATGTGTAACATATACTACATAATTTGCAACCAGGTGTATTTAAACTCTTGCACAAAAAAGAAAATTGGGGATGCTTTTGCCTTCCACCCTCAATGAGTAGACCGAGCCTTCTATGAGAAGCGGAACTAGGAGTTAAGATGCAAATGTAACATAATAGGAAAGACATGAAGTACCAATTTTGCATTACTTGCCAAATGCTTCCAACATCTGGAATAAAGTAGGATAAAAGGTGCATAGTCTTTGCTGGACAATCGTCAATTCAGATCTATCTAGGGGAGTTGACATTCAGGGTATTTGAACTTTTGGGGATTTCAATATGGATCTTACAGTCTTCTATGGTTTTTTTTCTTCATATTCTGGCATATGATTAATTCATGCCAAAGAGAATGGTGATAGTTAGTTGTTACAACCCCATACAAAAAAGATGACTACTAACATCATTCCTCCTCTATAGTATACTGTACCCGGGACGAGCATCATGTGGAGGGGCCTAGGACCATGCATGTCCAAGGTAGATACAAAAGTAGTAAAAGAAAAGCTACAAAAGTAGTAAAAATATTATCTATATAGTCATAAATAAACTTGTACTCTGCACCAAGTGCTACAACCTTATGATTCTATCTTCACAATGGTTGAAAAGATGAATGGAATTTCTTTTCAAATTCTTATAATTTTAGAACGTCTTTTATGAATATCTCACTAACTGAATGTGTTGAGCTTCTCTTACTTTACTGCTCAATATGTTCAAGTTCTTTTCTCCAGTGTCCTACTTTATTAATAGGTATTACATGGAGTTCCTTTTCTCCTTGCATTATGAGTAGCACTCTTGTAACATTATGGTGGAAGATCTTACTAGTTAATACACAAGATATAGTAGTGTCTTAGTTAGCCACTGAAGCTCTTCCTGTAAAGAGTGCACATATGAGCTATGAGCCTAACTTAGGCATGCTCGATCTTTAGGAACCTTACCTATAAGAAACAGCTGGGAGAGTTTTCTAAACTGGATGATGCCGATGCAGGTCCTTTCGGATAAAGCCGATCTTTTCTCAAAGCATTTTTTTGTCATCAACAGTTGCTGTAAATTGTATCTGAATCTATGTTAGATAATTTGAGGTCTCTGTTTGTGGTCTTAGGATTGGAGGAAGAAAAAATCATAGAAGGTATGACAGTGACATGGAAAGGTTTATTTTGGTCATAATTACTTGGTGAATCTTGTCTGTCCTCCCTTTTTTTTATTAACCTGGATATCCAACCCGCAATGCGAGCCGACTAATCCCAGGGCGACCATCTGCTTTGCAGATAGCCCGGAGTCACTGCATTTGAACCTCCGTGGCCACAAGCGGATTTTTATTTCTCCTTGATTTGAACCTGGGACCTCCAGGTACTTTTAACTTTGGAGCCAAGCTCAAACCAATCAGGCACCACCCTTTTATTACTCTTTCAATGAGAGAACTGAAAATTAACCACTTTGCAATGTCATTCTTGCTCCTTTGACCTTTCCTCTGCTCTTCATCATGGAATATTTATCAAATGTACTAATGTCATTGAGCCATGAAAATTTTGAACTTGTCAACTTTGACTCATTAATTTTGTTTGCAACTTTGCTTTATGCAATTTGTCTCTCTTTATATATCGTATATGAACTTATTATCAGGAAGGAAACAAAAGGCTAAGGTTGTGTTACATTGCTGTGTGAACTTCAGCTCCTGAACTCGATTGTGATGATGTCTTCGGGGCATGGAGGATTGATGACATGGATCATAGTTTCTCATCACAACCTTTTTACATACGATATGCAAGGCAGAATGTTTATCTATATGTCATGATCTCTTTCAACTTGTCTCTTGGTAAATATAAGGTGTCTCTCTCTCTCTCTCTATATGCATCTGTATACTTGCACGCATTCTATAGACACTCATCTTCATTCCCTCCACATAGCAGTGGGGTGCCACTGCTTGTTCCCTGTTCACTTTTTATATCGTCAAAGAATTTCCAAATGCTCATCGTGTTCACATTATTATATTGTCAGTTGATAAGATCCTAAAATCTTCAGGGTCCAATCACATCTGCCGTAATTCTAAAGTTTGAGCTTCTCTTTGCATCTATTTTGGATGATGGGTTAGTAAACAGCCTTATGTTACACATTTCCCATAATCTTGCCATTTTAAATATTATTATTCATTTCATCGTTTCTTTTCTTGATATCTGCAGCAACAATTTGCAGTCTTCTTGGGAAGGAGGACCTGCTGCAGTCCACGAATTTCGAATCCCACCTAAGGCTCTTCTAGGATTGCATTCATATTGCCCTGTTTATTTTGATGCTTTCCACTCTGTGCTTGTTGATACAAGTGTACACATCAGCTTGCTGAAAGGTGGTTTTCGTTCCACGAAGACACCTAGGTTTGTAGCAAATTTCATTTATCACTTCCATTAGGAACCAAGATTAATAATGTCTTGTCGCTTTTTAGTACTTTAATCTTACTGTTTGACAGTCACAGATTTTTGGTGAAGTTAGTCTGGGAAACTAACCTTTTGATGTCTCAACTCAGCGATCCTCATGGTCGTCAAGGTACTGCTGATGAGAAATACAACAAGGCTAATCAAGTATGCCATGAGTTTTTGTTACATCTCTTTCAGATGGCCTTTGTGTTGGTATCTTTAGATGGTCATGATCAATATTCTTTTGTGAAGATTAACCTAACTTTTTACTGCTCCTTAATCTGTTCAAACACATCTTGTGAAAACAGGTTGTCTTCGTCAAGGCGTTTTCAACTTCTCATGCAATTCTACTTGAAGAGCTTAAAAATCTTAGTAACACCCTCGATCAAACAATTGATTTGACTGCTTTCATTTCCAATGATGCTGAGACAAAGCTCTCTTCTGGTTCTACGGGAGTGGCCATGGAGACTGCTAATGCTGAACATTGGCAAGTGCCAGGCAAGATGCAAAATGATTCTGAGGTTGTTCGTTTATGGAGGCTCGGAGTGGTTTCCTTAAGTAGTCTCATATATTCTTTGAATTTCACTTTTTTTCATCTTCCATGTCCTTGAACAGGAACCAATTGGTACTATTGGTTACCAAAGTGATTATCTTTATTCCCTACAAAAGGACGAACTTTCCCGTCTTTTGGATTCTCTTGGAGATCAAATCCTCTACTTATGGAACACATATTTAAAGTTTCATAGGTTTGATTCTTTACCTTTGTCTAATTTTTTGATATTCTTTTGAACCTTAGTAGTTGTCTTTTGACTCTTTTCTGGAAAAAAGATTTCCTAATGAAAACTATAGAATCTGAAAGTTCTTGCCACTGAAATTGTGCTCATTGAGGATATCGCAGGGGTGTAAGCAGTGCACCTAACTTTGCTGCTTTCTATTTGTTATGTATAGTCATCAGCAGTTTTTATAACATCCAACAAAATTAAGAACAATCCTATGTTTTTGTTAATCACTGGACAAGGAAAGTTCCTGTAGATGGTAAGCACAGGATGTAGGCGTGTGGCTTTGGCACGAAAGAAATTTACCAGAATACTTCTTTTCCCTTGAGCTTGTTTGAAGTCTCAGACCTTATCTTTTACTTATTAACTCTTTATGCGGAGAAAATAGTATTACTTTGTTGTTTCTTTAACATGAAATTATTATATCTTGTATTGGCTTAGAATTATCATTTGTTACATGAAGAGAAGAGAGGAGAAAGTGGCTTAGAGTGTCTGTGGTGCAAAAGTAACGCCTTGCTTGGAGTATCAGAAGTTCAAGTGACACAGAAATCACATAATTTTACAACATTCTTGTGCCATTTAACTTTAATGTGCTATCTTGTAGTTAGTGATTCTTTGTTGTAATGATGGGTGGCTGATTGGCTGGTCATATTGCTTGTATCTTTATATTTGATCTGTTACTTCACTCTCAGGGATAATAAAACAAGGATTTTGGAGCGACTGCATGACGTTTGGGCTAATGATCGTAGAGCTGAATGGTCAATATGGATTGTTACCTCTAAAGTTGAGATGCATCATCAGTGTATTGGCAGTGAGGTTGATGACTCGAACAATGGCGTTCTTGCGAAAGCCCCTGCACTTCGAAAGATAACTGAAGATGTAATTTCGTAACCATCCTAACTTGCTACTAATCTTTTATATCATTGGGTACAGAGAGGTCTTCTTCACATCAATTCTAGGTTTGAGTGAAGATTATCTGAACATGTACTTTTTGGGTGATGAGCAAATTCTGGTTGCTCATTGACCAAGTATGAATACATCTTTATTGTGTGCTTTTGTTTTGTTCTTTTCTTATGATTACTTTATATGACTAATTATATTTGTTGTTATTTTAGCCTGCTGAAACTGCTGCAATGCGTGCTGAGCTCCACCGTCGTAGTATTGCACAGATGAAGGTGGGCCAGTGTTCTTAGAGGCTTCAGGATTTCATGTTTCTTCTATGTGGAATCACTAAATTTTCATCACTTCTGTGCAGATGTGCAATCGTTCAGTTCAAGACCTTCAAATTTTTGGAGATGCATCGCGTATACCTATTATAATTGTGGAACGCTTTGTAAATGCGCCATTCCCTTCAACTAGTGGAAATTCTTACTTCAGCAACATGGACATGAAAGAGGGACATAGAGTACTCTCAAATTTTGGCTCAAGTTTATCTAGCAATCAACAAAAGGACCGTGTTTTGAAGATTGCTGTGTTTGTTCATGGTTTTCAGGTATGTCATGCTCTGCCAGATTACCAACTGGTCTCTAAGAAATTTGCAGCCTCTTTCCCTCTCAGCCACCCCTTGTCATGCTACAAGTGCCTCTCTTCACTGGGTCTGAATGAAACGGAACCAGTTTGGTCTTAAACTCAACCATGAATTAACTACAAACTTGAGTCTATTTAATTTGAAAAATATCACCTAAAATGGAGTTGCTTCAAGACTCCAAAAAGAAGAAACAAGTTCGGTTTCATATACAAACCGAATTGAGAATCAACATAAAAAAAAATCTACAACCAATAACTGAACCTTTAGTATAACCAGTTTTAGTCCAGTTTTGTTGTTCCGGAGCAATTTTGCTCACCTACATCGTAGAACTTCACTTCTGTTGCTTCTCATTTCATATTACAAGTGATAGGGTAATAACTTTATACATGGTTTTAAGTTGATTTCGTGGTTATTACGTTATTATGCCACTAAAGTAGTGAACTCAATATGTAATGGGTTGGATTCATGTATTTATTGGTTATTTTTCTGGATTTGTTTTGGTTTTTGTGTAAATCGGAAAATGACATCATTATATTTATCGCAGGAGATTGTGACATCCAGCTCTACATAAGTTATGAGTTAGAACTGTGATTCCGATACGAGTCCTAGGTTGTATGCTATTAGTAACTTCTTGCCATTGTTTTAAGTTGACTTGGAGATTATTGGGTTAGTCTACTATTTTGGTCAGGAGTTATGACTTCAATTCTTTTTGAATTCCATGTGGTTTATCTTCTTGGAGCAAAGCACTAAATACATCCAAGTTAATTATAAATTTATTGAGTCTTAAGATTTGAATTCCAAATCTAAAAATGGGCTCCAACCGGGAATGGAGGTAATATATGCAAGAAATGTAAAACTATGTGATACTCTGTGTCAATATGATGTCTCTGATATCTGTGTGCATTAGTGCATTTCAATGGTAGTGCCGAAAGTGGTGGTGTAACACCCTAGTTTTTTTTATTTAAATGTTTAAGCCTTAAATACAAGATTTTGTAAGCAAATTAAGTACTTTTAAAAGAGTCCAACAGCTGTAGCATTTATTAAACTATCATGTTTATAAGGCAAGTAGCTTACAAAGCTACTTATAAATAAACAACATGAGCCACAAAATCTTATGACAAAGCAAGCCTACTCTTTACGACAAAGCAAGCTAGTTATGAGTTGTCAAGGATAGAAGCATGTGTTGGCAAAATTCATGATGACAAGCAAGAGCTAGAAGCATGACAAATAAAAGCTAGAAGCATGAGGTGTTAAGATTCTTTTATATTAAGCATGAGGTGTCAAGATTCTCTTATCCTCAAAAATGAGGTGTTAAACTCTCATAAGAGTACAATCTTTAGAGCAAGAAGAACAAGTAGTTAATGCAATGAATTTATCTATAAATAGGGGTTTAAGGGTCACTATTTATGCATACCAAAAACTAAGAAATCTCTCTAGTTAAGCTTGAAGAAAGGAATCAAAGGAAAAGTAGGCAAATCAAGGTGAGTACTTATGTGATATATGAGATACATGTATGCTATATATAGAAGTATTTTATGCATTACAAGTTATGTTGGCATGCTTTGTTTTACATGAAAATATTGATTCACATACATATTCAAGATATGCATGATGACATACAAGTATACACACAAGACATGAAAATCATTTACATGTTATCATGTGTGTTACATAAGGCATGAAATTTTTTACATGTTATGTATAACCATAATATCCAATGTACGGGATATTACAAGAAGGAACGTTTTGCAAACGAACCTTATAGGGCAGCCTTTTATGGAGCCGGCGGTTAGCAAACCTCAAGACAAGTATGGTATACATGCATGTGACAAGTGAGATCTCAAAGGAATATTTTTATACATGATAAAGAATATAGTATTTTATAAATGTTTATGCATGAGAATAAAGAATATTTTTATACATGATCAAGAGCTTTTATAAATTATCATTTACAAAATATCATGAAAATTTCTCATTCATGAAACTATAAATACTCGCTAAGCTTATAGCTTATATATCTCATGTATGTATCTCAGGAATCAAGGAGTAGGAACAAGATGTCTAAGATGTTAGAATATTTTAAGTTGTAAATTTCCGCATTTCCGCTGCTGTAATAACTCTATTATAATGAAATAAAAGTTTAAGATATGAAGTTTCTTTCATTCACTTGTACTAAGGGCAAAGGACGATACCCCGAGAACGGGATGTTACAGGTGGTAATAGTGTAATTTTGAAGAACTAATTCCTCTTGAAATGAACAAATGAGCAGGGACATCATCTGGACTTACGGCTTGTCCGAAATCAATGGCTTCTGATCGATCCAAAATTGCAGTTTTTGATGTCGAAGGTTAATGAAGACAACACAACTGGGGACTTCAGGGAAATGGGACTTAGGCTTGCTCAAGAAGTAGTTTCTTTTGTTAAAAGGAAATTGGATAAAGCCTCGAGGGTTGGTGTCTTATCAAGCATTAAGCTCAGCTTTGTGGGTCATTCCATTGGTAATGTCATTATAAGAACAGCATTAGCAGGTACTTATTACATAAATAGTTGTGTTTTCTTAAGCAATTACTGTAATTCTTGTAAAACCTTTTTATTTTCCTGGCCTTATTAATGTAGTCTATAATTTCTTATCACAGAGAGCATTATGGAGCCATACCATAGATTCCTGTGCACATATGTCTCTCTTTCCGGTCCACATTTAGGTTATCTCTACAGTTCAAACTCTCTTTTCAATTCTGGATTATGGCTGTTGAAGAAGCTTAAGAATACACAGTGCATTCATCAGCTGACTTTCACTGATGATATAGATCTACAAAACACTTTCTTCTATAAACTCTGCAAGGTATCAATTGATTTTTCTGTTCTCTGCAGTTTGAAACTGTTGGATTTACGATCTGTTCATATTTCTTATGAAAAGAATGAGAACTTCTGTTGTTGCTATAAGTTTACATGGTTGAAGTTCTGATACCTTTCCTTTTACTGCCAGCAAAAGACGTTGGATAGTTTTAAGAACATAATCCTTCTATCATCCCCCCAGGTATTTACTTTGTTTTCATCTATAAGCAATTGCACTAGCACTTGCCTCCTTTGTCTGAATCCACAACTATGCTTCTTCAAAACCAAAATAGACCCAATATATCCCACTTAGAAATAAGGTTCGGGGATAGGATGTATGCAGACCTTTCACCCAACCCAAAGAGTAGAGAGGCTCTTTCCTTACGATCCTGACTCGTGAAAAAGTATCGTTGTAGAATTTGTAGCATTTGATGTTTACTTTCATTTTTGGTAAAATCTCATTAGTTTTGCGAATGCATCACATCCTAAGATACCCCCCCCCCCCATGGGTAATATTCATTTGTTGTTGAGAAGTGGTGTTCCTAGCCTTCTAGGCGAAGTTGAGAGTTGTGGCTGAAGATTGAAGTGGTTTGGACATGTTCGCAGGAGACAGTGAGGCGTGTAGATCGCGTCATGGGTGAGGGGGTGAGGAGGGGTAGGTTGAGGAAGATGTGAGATGAGCAACTGAAGATAAACATAGAGACCTTAGACATTTCTGAGAACATGATCTTTGATAGGAGATCTTGGAGGCACTGGACTAGAATAGCAGGCTAGGGTGTAGGGACCTTTAGATAGTGTAGATGGGAGGGAGTTGGTTGGGGGTGGTACTTTGAGGGTTATAGAGTAGTCAAAAATAGGTTACCGGTGTCCTATGTTAGACAAGGAGTTGTTCAATGCCTCATACTTTTTCTATGTTGCAATGTGCTGTCTTTGTTATACAACACACTTCTATTTAGTGTTGCTTCTTTTCAAAAGTCGTTGGTTCAATCCCTTCATATTTATTTTCCAAAACCTTTTGGCAATGTTTTTGAATTTCTTGGATCAAAACTTCTCCGCACACATTTTTACAAGCTCGAGGTGTCTTAATAGAAACAATTGTTCTAGTTTTTAGTGTAGAGTACGGGTCTGCATACATCCCACCCTCCCTAGACTGTACCTTTGAGTGAAATATGTTAGGTTTGTTTCGTTTTGTTTTTATAGGTCGTCACCATAAACATGTGACATTTGTTTAATCGAAATGGTGAAATTGAATGCCATTAAACAAATAAACAAGAAAAATTATGTGTTTCAGGATGGGTATGTTCCTTATCACTCGGCACGAATTGAAATGTGCCAGGCATCCTCACAAGACTACTCAAAGAAGGGCCAAGTCTTTCTTGAGATGCTTAATAACTGCTTGGAACAAATACGCACGCCATCCACAGAGCAACGGATGTTCATGCGTTGTGACGTCAACTTTGATATATCGTTGTTGGGTCGAAACTTGAACACTATGATCGGACGAGCTGCTCACATAGAGTTCTTGGAGACTGACAATTTTGTAAAGTTCATAATGTGGTCATTTCCGGAATTCTTTTGCTGAAAACATCCTCATTTATTAGCCCCCAGGTGCATTATTTTTTGCTCATGAGATTGCGACTTATGGAGTTGAAGCTGCTTCAGGTAACAAGTCCACTTTAAAGCTATGTCAATCATAGGTGGATCAGATTATCTCGTATGACTATATGGTGGGGAGGACCCACCATGTTTTATATGGTTGCACGGGCCACCGCTTCATATAACTTTTACAGTGATAAATGTGCCACCGTATCATTTGTTGGGTGCAACCATATATTTTTCGAAATTACAATAATAACATAAGTTTATCTTGACAACGTTGGTTTGCACGATCTTTTCTCCCCTTGGGCAGATTCGAATCTAATACCCTATCATTTTCTTTAGTTTTTTGCCTTTTAATTTCAGGTTTATTATGTTTTTGAATTTTTTTGGGATAAAAGACTCAAACATAGTGTCACATATGAAAAATAAGGAACTAATCAGTAGACTAACAGTAATTTTGTAAAAATACCCATAGCTTCATTTTTTATAATCAAATGGTGTTACCACCTCACAAAAATTCCTAGGTCTTTTGTGTTCGTTATTAAAATTAAACGTAACAAATGAATGAATATGAATGCATAAACAAACAAAATTTCTTGTTTGTGTTCATTTGTTAATAACATAAGCTTGTTCATGTTCTTTGTTAAAATGCTAAACATGCACAATTGGTATCTACAATGAATTTATTAGTAAATGACATACAAACTGTTAAAAGAATGAGTAACAACTAATTCATGTTTTCTTTTACCACAAAGGTTAACATAATCATCATTCAACACTAAAGCTTGATGTAAAATTGACCAAAATAGTCAATCTCATCAACGAAATTTACTTTTTAGTCACTTTTGGAAAGGTTATTGCTAAAATAGCTGGTCTTTACATAGATGCTTTATGTATTTGCGTAAAGACTAATTTCAGGAAAAAAAAACCTTATGCAAATACGTAAGGTTTTTACTTAACATTGACATGTCCTATTCTGAAACTTTATGCAAATTTGATTTTTTTTTTGTATAGCAATTGTCTTTTTACTAATTTTTTTTTGTTTTTCAGTAGACATAAAATATACATTCTTTGCTTTTCAGTAGCTCAATTTGAGTAGGCGACTATTGTACAATAATATTCAGTGATTCAATTTGAGTAGACAACAATTGTACAATAATTCAATTTGATTCAATTGTGAGTTAGAGTATTAATCACTGTGATTTGTTCAAATTTTTGTAAGGTCCCTCAAAAGAATTATGTATACCGGATTAACCCTGATAATTAAATTCTTTATATATTTTAGTATGACTTACATTATGTTTACAATCTCATTGATTCTCTTAAAATGTAATTTTTCCATTGCTCTTTTTGCTCCTATACTAGTGGTCTCTCGTCAATTTGAATTTCAAAATGACAAATGAAACTGAGAAACTGAGGTTGCATATTCATCTTGGAGGAACATGAGAAAAAGTAAATGATGTTATGAAGCATGTATATATAGAACTTATGCAACGTGGTGTAGTTTTGGCAACGTTACATTTTAGGTTGGCTAGCTATGTTGCAATTTTTTTTTTTTTTGCAATAATCAATGCTTTTAGATTATCGTACAACTATGATAGGTGTGTTTTTGAGTTAGCTAGTGATGATGATGTCACCGGGTTTATGGATTTTGTTGTCGAGCAAGAAGACGTGCTACATTTTGTTTGTGATCGAAACTTCTGTTGCTTGTGGTATTTGATCGGGTAGAGGAAGCAATGTCAGAGGAAGTTCCAACCTACCACCAATCAATGAGGCTTAACATCAATTTGGTCATCAGAATCAGCGTATTTATTATAGTCAACAATAATTTGTCCCACAAAATCAACCTCAAATTTTTTGATCAACAACAGATTTTGCCTGACTAGCAGGATGCACATGTGCCCTAATTTGTGTCTCAAGTGGTGTTAATGTTTTTATCAATATATGTACTCATGGATTCCCGAGATGGAAGAAACTAATGAAGGTGCTAATGTTTTTAAATTAGGTATACCTGAGGTTGATGATTTAGATTATGAAGATGGTGATAATGAAAGAGAAGGAACAGGAGGATGATAAGAAGAAGAAGAAATACGTGATTCTAGTAGACCATTTTCGGCTATGAATGATTATTTTGGTATGCCTCATATACTTCCAACACCAGAACCCATTATCACACCCAACAAATCGCTCAATTATAATCGCACCACACACATCAGCTTGGGAGAATTATTTACCACCAAAAAAGAAATGATATTAGCCATATGATTGAAATTTATTCAAGAGAGTTTCGGATTTAAAGAAAATAGATCAACAAAGAGTAAATTTGAGCCAATTTGTGTCCATGCAAATTGTGGTTGGACGATTAGGGCGAGCTTAGTTGGCACAAGTGAAATGTTTCAAGTTCGAAAATTGGAAGATCGACACACTTGATCAAAACCCAACTACATTCAAATCAGAGGCAAACCGATAAAAAGTTTTGGGTCACATACTAATAAAGACCCTTACAGATGAAAGCAGAACTTACCAAGGAAATGACATGAACAAGTTATACAATATTGAAATTACCTACGGGCAAGCTTGGAAGGCGAAATGTCATGCAGCGGGTTTGCTTAGGAGTACCCCCAGAGTATTCGTTAACCAGACTCTCTGTATATCTTTTCAATTTGGAGTGTATGAATCCATTATATTGTGACAAGAATAACGACATATGAAATGCAACACTCTTAAATGTGTTTCGTTGCCCACGGTTGCGCAATATGCATAATTTTTAGATTTTTAGGTTACAATCATATAATTGTTGATTTTTATGTAAATCATGTAAAATTTTTTTTTGCAGATTCGAACATTTTTTAATAACTTGCGGTCGTATTGTAGTAGACAATGCTCATTTCAAGGGACATTTTTTAGGCACCATGTTCTTGGCCGTTGATATGGATGCAAATAACCAAATCTTTTTTATTGCATTCGGCGACATATCTGAGAGTGGGGAGTCATGGACTTTGTTTTTGGCAATATTGAAGCAATGCATTAGAGAAGTGGAATAGTTGGTATTCATCTCCGATAGAGTTGCTTCCATTAACCAAACCGTTACAACTGTCTATCCAAGTGCTCATCATGGTCTTTGTTGTTGACATTTAGTATATGAATGTTTATTCAAGAGATAAAGAGTAAGGATGAAAAAAATATATTTTGGAAAATATGCAAACCCTGCATAGTGGTGGAGTTTGACGCATTTATAGACAACCTATGATATTATGTGCCTGATGGTACTCCACTTATGGACGAGGTTGGCCTAGAGACTTGTTTAGATTATTTTCAGTCTTATTAACGTATCAAATGTTGAACCATGTTTGTTTATGTGTCTTTTCCACATACATCCAAAGTTCTTGTTGATGTACTTTGTGGTTGTTTATGTGATCAGAATCTCGATAGGAAACTGTCTACAATAACTGTTGATAATTGCACTACAAATGATGCAATAATTAACATATTATCAGACAAGATTCCTTTGAGTTTACTTATGATTGGTGGGAGGTTGTTCCACATGTGATATTGCATGCACGTTCTCAATTTGATAGTTCAAGATGGATTGGCTGTTATCAGAGACAAGATTGAAAGGATTAGAGATAGTGTTTCTTTTTGGACTTCATCGCCAAAAAGGGAACAAATATTTGAGGAAGCGACCCCCCCAATATTAAAGATCATCCACCAGAAAATTGGCACTTGATTGTAAGACTGGATGAAACTCTACTCATTTGATGATCAATGTTGCTATAGTTTATAAGGATGTCTTTCAATGCTCAAAGCAACGAGAGTCTCAGTATAAAGTTTCCAAACTTAGCGGGATTGGGAGTTCACTAGAAAAGATTTGTGATAGATAGCAATTATTTTATGAGGTAACTCTATTTTTTGGTTTTTGTTTTTTGGCAATCCTTAGGTAAAAGTAATGTTTTCTGGTTCAAAGTATCTTATGTCAAATGTCTTTTTTCCATCGATATGCGAAATTAGATTTTCTTTGGTTGATTGGACATGTTCTAATGGAGTTATTAGATACATAGCTTCCAAAATGTCTTTGAAGTTTGACAAGTATTGGGTCTATTATACACGGGATTATGGAAATGACAATGGTTTTAAATCCTCCATATAAACTGAAGTTTGTGAAGTTACTCTTTTCCTATGTTGTATGGACAAGACTCAGTGACTGAAATTGAAAAGATCAAGGAATTGATCTACATTTCTTTTAAAAAATATGAATATAATTATCCTGGTGAAAGAAACAACAATATTAACGGGAGGGGGTTCACCGGGGTTGTTTAGGGGGATTCATTGGACGGTTTGAGCAACTTGGAAGGTACAACTTTGGATTTCGTCTAGAAAAAAATAATAATATTAAAATGAAGAAAAATGACAAAAGAAAAATTACAAAACACCCTCGAGTTAACAGACAAGGTGGATTGCCGTTTGGTACAAGCACTAATTCCAAAACAAAATGTTAACAACGAGCTTATTCTCATTACTAGAAAAAAAAGGGCAACAATGATCAAGAATTTGCTACGAATCAATTCGTCACTAATTTACAACGAATCAATATTATACAAGCGATAAAACCAAACTTCTTATGACAATCAACAACATTTAAACAACAAAACCAAAGTTTTTAATAAATGAAATACCATTTCACTTTTTAAGTTATTCGGATTTTATATTAATTGCTCTTTAATTATGCCGTCTAATATTAATTACCCAACCAACTTGGTATGTGGCTATATGTCGACTTTTCATGCCTTTTCATATCCATCACCCCTACCCCTACATATTATCTAAAACACCGCCTTCTTTTCATGTGAAATACTCCATCATCAGCCTGTTTATGATTTTTTATTTTGATGTTCAAATAATTAATATTGGAGGGTAAATCGGTCATTTATGTTATTCAGACTGTTGGTTTAGATAAAAAAAGTAAAAAACAACACCCATTTATCCAGACAGACAAATTTATCCATACATGACTTAATAAAAAATTTGGTAAACAGCCCCTAAGAATTGCAAACATAATTGAAATATGGCTTCCATTTTGTTTTCCAATGACTAGATGTTAGGGACGGACCCAAAACATTTTCCATACGATAAAATCATATAAAACAGTTGCATCTTATAAAATAATATGGTTGCACCTTTCATGAATTTAAATTTTTAGCTTACGAAAACGGGACCATACGATCCGTTCCTGTAGATGGTAAGTTTTCAACGAATCTATGTGGTAGAAACTCGTGCAATGGTTTTTATAAGTTTTCTATGATTTTATATAAAAGACCATAAATATATAAACAACACTGTTTAATTATTTATTACATGTCTTTAAAAAAGTTGCTATATTTGTAAATAACTTGGAGTTGAAATTTTATACATTTTATTTGCAAAATGTAGCTTCAGAATCAAAAGCAATATTCATAAATAACCAATATATAATTTCAATAATTTTTTTAAATTATAAATACCAGTAATATTACCCTTTAATATATAAAATTATATAAACTATCGTTATTAAATCGAATATAAACATAAACATATGCAATATAAATATAATAATAGGCGGTCTTCATTTGAAACTCATAGAAATTTATAAAAATCTTGAAAACCGGTATGTCATGTGCTATTTCATATGTTTTTATTTTATTTAAGGCTTGAATTTAGTATATTGATTAACATATATTTGTTTCACAATATGAACATCTTTTTTGTGTTTATGAAACAAGTAAAAGTTTCACATTTAAACCGAATACATATGAAACAAATATATGTTGATTCATATATTAAATTCTAACAAAAATATTCATATAAGACAATACTTTACGATAACAATTATCACAATATATGAGTTATAATTTAATAAACCAAGTTAAGTTACCAATAACCCAAAAGTATTGGTAGATATCCTTATATATATAGAGAGAGGTGGGTTATTATACAATCATTTATATTTGTATAATCAATATAACTCAAGCTCAACCGTTTATTTAATTAAGTTATCATAATTAATGAACCTTAATCATTTTCCATAAATATTTAAATAATAATAAATGAACTCTCATCATTTTTATAAATATTTTAATTTATTGGATTACATTAGTTGTACAAATCTGATAGGTTTCATTTGAAACAAAATATATATACACACGTTCTTCTGTATGGCACCTCATGCAATATGTAGTCTCATGAGTCACCAATAAACCCCCCGTTGACGACTTGTGTATTAACTTGCTTCTATAAAACCTGCCCTGCCATCTTCAACCGAACACAACTGATTAGGGTTTCAAATGGAAGGAAAAGTGAGAAGGATTAAGCTCGGATCACAAGGTATGGAAGTATCAGCCATCGGATTAGGATGTATGGGGATGTCCACCGCCTACGGACCTCCCAAACCGGAGGAAGACATGATCGAACTCATCCATCACGCCGTCAACTCCGGTGTCACTCATCTCGATTCCTCCGACTTCTACGGTCCTCACACCAACGAAATCCTTATCGGCAAGGTGGTTCAATCGCTAGCTATTACTTTCGGTTTTGCGTTGTTGATTTGTGGCCATATCATATGTTGATTTTTCTCGATTTCTTTCGTGATTTAGGCATTGAAGGGATTGGAAAGAGGGAAGGTGCAAGTGGCAACGAAATTTGGGATCAAATCGTTGGAGGGAGAGGGCGAAATCTGTGGTGATCCTGAGTATGTTAGGGCTTGTTGTGAAGCGAGTTTGAAACGCCTTGATGTTGATTACATCGATCTGTATTACGTCCATCGCATCGACACTCGTGTTCCAATCGAGATCACGGTTAGCATAATACATTCATCTGTGTTATCACCATTTACATCATTTTCTTGTACATGGTTCTTTGATTTTGAGATTTATATATCGTTTTCTATTTGATTCAACCTTTTAGAAAATGTAAACATTAAACCAAAAGTTAAATTTATTTGTGTTTCCTTTTTGAAGTGACAAAAACGAGTATACAATTTAAGAGCATGTCCATGGTGGAGATTCAAACGAGAACACCTACATTTTACAAAAATATCTTTATCACATGTGATAATATGTGTGATGAGACTCTGTGATGTGCGGACGACGTGTTCTACGACTTAGGCCGCGTCAAAGGTTGTTTGGGTCTATGATTTAACATCACATGTGATGGTCTTAATGAATTATAGTATTATATCAACAACATCCTTATCACATGTTTGAACCCTTCCCCAAGCATTTGGCATATATCCGAAAATTGACGGTTCGACCGATCAAAGTTGTGAAAATTTTGTTGGATGCTCAAAGTGGACGACAATAATGTTGTTGGAAGTTCCAAACGGCAAAAAAATGGCCCACAGCTATAATTCTTTAATTTAATTTACATTAAATTACTTTTATTATTAAAAAATGTGTTTTTAAATGTATTTCCGTTATTAAATTTTTGTTTTCTACATTTATTTATAATTATTATTTTGTTATCGTTATTATTTTAAGTCTTCATTAAAATATTTTAATTACTAATTATATATTACATTAATATGTATCTACAAACTATAATTAATATGATTACTTACGATAGTTATTTTCGGCTTGTGGTTTTATTTCTTAGTCATTTCTATTTTAAAATCGAAATGTCATTTATCGATGCGTCAAAGTGTAAAAAAAAAGTTTCTGAACCAGGTCTGTAACTGCAGGGACCAAATCTATAAACTAACATGTCCCCAAGTTATAGGTCAACATTTGTGGTTTGACTAATTTACAGATTTGATCCCTATACTTACGAACTTGGTTTAAAAGTTTTTTTTACACTTTGACACATTTGCAAATTGCAAACTTGCCATTTCCGGACCTAGTGATGTTTTGATGATTTTAGGAGAAAAATGACTATGAGATGAAACTAATATCTCAAAATGGCTATTTTAATTAATGGCTCCTATATTTATTGTATTTAAAAATAGTTTAATAAAAATAAAAAATATGTAACTTTTATTAGAGGGTCTACAAATTTAGTGTTTTTAGAGTGTGATTAGAATTGAGATGTTCTTTTTGGTGTTAATGGGTCCAGTTTGGGTTTTCTTTTTTGCATGCAAAGGTCGGAGATGCTTGTTTGAGTAGTGAGCACAAAATGTTTGTGCTATAATATACACTTCTTGCATTTACCACGGAGGCAATGATGCATTTGTATTTCTCTATTGTTTGGAAAAATTCAGCTCACAAGAATGAAGATTGTTTTGGTTGTAGATGACAGAACTTAAGAAACTGGTTGAGGAGGGTAAGATCAAATATATAGGTCTTTCTGAGGCCTCACCTTCGACTATTAGAAGAGCGCATGCTGTTCATCCAATTACTGCTGTACAACTCGAGTGGTCGTTGTGGACTAGAGTCCCGGAAGAAGAAATTATACCAACTTGTAGGTAAGCCATTGACAAGATTATGTTTTGGTAAAACGACATGGATATTTGGGTCAGTTTTCCCTCATCTCAACTAATCTCATGGGACCTTGAAGATATATAATAGGCAGAAAATTTTCCAATGGCCTTGAGTACGTAGACTCAAACTGGCAGTCTAGGGGAAGGAGCTCAAGGCTTAACCTTTATTAGCCAATTGAGTTGGCCCTCAATATTATAGATAACGTTGTAACCAATTGCCTTTGGCCTAGTTAATTGGTATCTGACCAAGTCTCTAACTTTAGTGATTGTAAATTCGAGTCTTGTTCCTAATAGGGTCTAAGCATAACTTTTGTTTCACTTATGTCCTTTGAAGGAACACTCTCTAGATGAATGATATCCGTTCTAATTCATTTTTTGATGTATGATTATTCAGAGAGTTAGGTATCGGGATTGTTCCTTTTGGTCCTCTTGGAAGTGGATTCTTTGCTTCCGGTCCCAAGGTGCTTGAGGGCTTGTCAGAATCCGATTTTAGAAAGGTTTGTGTTCTCAAACATCTGTGAAATTAAAGCACTAGCCATTTCGTCATTAACATTTAAATCGGGTCTTGTTTATATATTCTTAAAAAGTATGACAAAGTAATTTTATTATTAGTGTTTTGAGACTATTTCATTATCAGTTTTTTAATCCCAAAATGCTATAATGAATTACTCTGTCATATTCTTTAAGAAAACAAAAGAAAATACCATACCTTATGATTATGAATAAAAAGTGCAAATATTATTGTTATTCTTTTTGGCATTTTTTTTAAGTATGATGGTTTATTTAATATTCATATTACAATGAAAAATCAACTAAAATAGCTCAAAAAGTTAAATCACTTTAAACAATTTTATATTATGCTTGAATTGTTATTGTTGGTTTTGATATGAATTGTTGTATTGCATCCATTGTAGTATTTGCCAAGATTACAAGGAGAGAATCTTGAACACAACGAGATCTTGTTTGAGCGGATTCATGAAATTGCACAAAAGAAAGGTTGCACTCCGTCTCAATTAGCATTGGGTTGGGTTCTACACCAGGGATCCGACGTGAGTCCCATCCCTGGTACAACGAAGATCCATAATTTGAACCAAAACATTGGAGCTTTGTCTGTCAAACTCTCACCGGAGGACATGGCTGAACTTGAATCCATTGCTTCGGTTGATGCCTTCAAGGGTGGTAGATTACCTCCAGCAATCTTAGCTCATTCAAACGTCGAGACCCCACCATTGTCATCCTGGAAATAATAGTGTGCTCCTTTGCATACACAAAGCATACTCACATTTTTTAGAGTCGATGACTGACTGAATAAGTATCATATCAAATCCGTTCATGACATCTTATAAGCCCTGGGAGTATGTAGAATTAGGGTCTTCGATAAGTACGAAAAAAATTCAATAAATGTTTTTCATTAGGTTAAAACTGAATACAAGAAATGCTAATGATTTATGGATAAAATAAATCTTGTTCTTCTTTATTATAGATAAGAGAGTACTTAAATTTTACCTACTTCTTATTAGGCTTAAGAACTTAAATATAATTTTGTGGTGTGTAGAGGAATCGCAATGAAAGATGAAGAACTCAAACAATTGTTGATAATATTTGAATTTATTTTTTTTGCTCTACTAAAATATGATGTTAGGATTAAAAGTTTATGGAACATGACGTATATAAATGACATTACCGAATACGTTTAGTAGGAAAAATGTATTGATTAATCACAAAACTATGAAACATGTTATAACTCGTAGAAAGAATAAATAGATCGCCACATAATATCATTTGCAGAAGCAAAAATAGATAGCAATAACCAACAAACACAATTACGCAAACAACATAAGCAAATAGCTCAATAGATGCAGAAATAGATAAAAATATCCAAAACTAAAATATATAGCAATAACAAGCACATGAGCTTAAAGCTGTTAGTCGTTGAATTGTTGAAGCACATATAGTTAGAGATAGCAATAACCAATATCATTGAATCTTGGAACTAGATAAAAAAAAGTTAGAAAACCAATAGTATATAATGAATGGTCATCTAACGTTTTATTGATCTTCTTCTTCAATGTAATTAATTAAATATTTTTATGGCCCTTATTATCTATTAAATTCTTTTTGTCTGTTATTATATGCTACAATGTGTTATTTTTTCTAAAACGAAAACTATATACTGGGGAAAAAATTGGGCATGTAATATTTTTGGGTTCTGGGCATGCACCCGCGCCACCCTCTCGAGGGACGAACTTGTATCATATTGTTGTATATAAGGGTGTATTTATAATAATCAGTTCATTTTATCTTTCGTTTTCTCCATTTATACCGAACATGTTTTTCAATAAAAAAAATTCTCTGAGAAATCATAGTTTGGAATCTTATATTTGATGCTTAATAAATTGAGTTTTATATTAATATGCTTTATATGTTAGAATAGAGAAAAGACAAAAGAAAATTAAGTCTGTTGTCATTGAATACCATTTTACAATTTTGGTACACATGGAGCAATCAAAGAGTAGTTCATTTGATTAATCGAACTTCTTTGCGATGTGCTTGCTTCCAACAACGGTCATCTTCTTTGGTATTTGTTGTAGTCGCGGGCGATTAACACATCTCTGTGTGCATAAAATACAAAGTTCAATGTCATACCTAGAAAAAAACAATGTGATTGATTGGGTTGTAATGGGGATTCCTCAATCCTCGGCTCCGCCAACGAGGAGATTATCAAAATGCACCATCATTAATTCTAGCGATACTTCCAAGATCTAGGGACCTCACGCCTAACGAACTCTTCGTCTCCAAATGACCTCTGTTCTAAGATTGAATCCTCTTTCCAATAGTCGTGATTACAAAGGATATGCCTATTAAATTGAAACTCTTATTTGCATCCAATTTTTTTTATCAAGGTAGACGCACGCCAGTTATGAAAACGGAGTCTATTTATTTCATCGACTTCAACTTATGTTTATGAAGGCGTTAGAATTTAAGGTTAGATTATAGGTTTATTTATTTACAGCTAGAAATTTCTCATCCCCCCCCCTCATTTACATTAAAATAGTGAACAATTTGATCTTGTATGAGCTTAAAGCATTTGGTGTTGTCAATGTTTTTTGTTTGCCATCTTAAAAGTTGCATCTATATGCCCTTTTTAAGCTTACGCTTGTGCTGCCTTCCATTTATGATCGAGGACCCAAGGAAATATTGGTTGGTGATGCATATACAAGTTTGTTTCAGTATTTTGAGTGATTTGGTTTCAAAGCTAACTAGCAATCCTGATGTTTGATCATATTTTTCAAGCTGATGATCTAGAAAGTTGTGTGCTTGTGTTTGAAATGGTGATTGACAAAGAAATGATGCAACCCATCACAACTAGCACTGGCAAGTGCGACTAGAATCAAGCTAGATCCTCGACCAAAAGTTGTGAGCTTGAAAGGTTGCTTCGGTGATGGATACCCACCCGCTTAAGAGCATGTTAGAGGTTCATGACTTTATTAAATAAGTTTTCTCTTTCCTACATATTTCATAAACTTTTCACTTTCAATTATGGACTGGTTCATGGTTTATATAATAAAAAATAAAATTATAAAATTATAACTAAAAGTTACTTATCATAATTAAAAGACAACACTGAAATTCACTTTCAAGAATCCTTGCTCCTGGCTCATATTCACATAGGCCACTCATAAGAATAGGTACTATGGATCCTCCGACTCCCAATCGGGTTGCCTTCCCAGGTCTCGCCTTTCTTCTCGCTCAGCGAGTTGCTAACCTTCCGGGGACAGAGGGGCTGGGAAACTTAATAGCGCTAGCTAACAAGTAAACGAGTGAATCTTGCGTAAGTGAACGGAATGTTGTTGGCATGTTCGAGCTATGACTAAAAATTACAATAATAAGTCATAATAATTAAAAATTATAAAAATAAAGACTATAAGAATGAAAACTATAAAAAATAAAAATATAAAAAATAAAAAATTAGAGTAACTTACGTTTTTAGTCCCTATGCTTTGTTAAAAATTGCAATTTTCGTTATTGTGGTTTAGATATTGTGATTTTCATCTCTATAGTATGTAAGTCATTGTTATTTTCGTTCTTATGATTTATAATTTATTCTTGTTTTGGTTCTTGTGGTTTATAATTTCTTACTATTTGGTCCCTTATACTTAAAAAGGTAAGAAATAGTTCAGGGGTGAAAATAACAATAAATTACAAACCATGGGGATGAAAATCATAATTTCCAAAACTACAGGGACGAAAATTGAAATTTTTAACAAACCGTAAGGACAAAAAATGTAATTTACTCTAAAGATTATGATAATAAAGTGAAAAAGTTATTGGAATTACAATAATTACAAGTGATGCATGGTTAGATTGAGCTTGACTCCAAAGGTCAAAAGTTCTGAAGGTTCTAGGTTCAAATCCAAAAAAAAAAAAAAAAAATCCTCTTGTCGCCATGGATGTTCAAATGCGGTGACTCCGGGCTATCTGCAAAGCAAGTGGTCGTCCTGATATTAGTCGGCTTGCATAACGGATTGGATATCCACGTTAATAGAATATATATATATATATATATATATATATATAATAATCGATGGAATCGCCTATTACGATACATATCAAAGGTAAAGACAAAATGCCTTATAAGAAAAGAAGCGTCACAATTATTTTTTTTATACATGCCAAAGTGATGGAAAACAAAGAATATCTCCCGATTTGTCAACTTTTGGGGATATATATATATATATATATAGAGAGAGAGAGAGAGAGAGAGAGAGAGGAGCGATCAAATGAAAACCACTCCAATTTGTAAAAACCGTAAAAACTACTCTCATCCGTCGTTAATCTTATGAATTTTTTTCATGAAATTGTTAATCTTGTGAAATTGTTTCATATAATATTTTTTTTGATAAAGTTGTTTCATATGTGGTTACGAAATTGTTTCATTTACTACTTAATGAAATTTTAATGAAACTATTTCATGTATTTCTCTAAAATTAAAATAATGAAGATGATAATATCCATGATTAACACCCTTCACAATAAAAATGGTTAATCAACCTCTCATAATTACAAAAAATGAACAAAATAAAAAATTATGATTGGTTGAATGAGGTTTTCACGGTTTTTACAAATTGAGTGGTTTTTATTTGAACCCACCCTTATATATATATATATATATATATATATATATATATATATATATATAAGCCGAAGATCATTAAATTATGATTGTTTACTTATCGTAGGGTCCATGCCTATCAAATGAAGTGGTTCATAAGTACGGACCTCTTCCACTCAATTGGGTGTGAAAAGAAAAGGCGGTTCATAGACCTGCCCTGCTGTAGATGGTCAGCAGCGCAAGTAATCTATTATTATAGAACATTTGAGAAAGTCTTAAAAACTATTTTATATATATCAAGTGTGGTTTGTTGATATATATTACTTAAAATTTAATATTATAAGTAAATGGTTCATGCGTATGAATTTTTAAAATTGTATGTTTGAATTCATATAATTAATTGATAAAAATAATCAAATAGAAAATACACATCTTATTTTAAATATAAAGAATCTAAAATATAATTACGATAATCATTTAGTTCTAACAGAATATTTAATTACTATCTTTATAATAAATAATTACATTATTTAATCTAAAATAAGTTATATCATAATTAAACCTGAATTAAATTATAATGAAAAACCGGATTGAAATTGTATAAAAATCAAGAACTTTTAAATTGTTAAATTGATATCAAGATCGATATTTTTTCAAATTTTTATGGGGGCTTCAAATTTATATTTTATTTAATTATAAAAAACATTATCGCTTTATCAAAATCATACAAGACCATATTACAAAATCGACAAAGACAAAGAATAACATGAACATTATATTCGAGATGTAACACAGTAGATTGCATGGATACACTTCTAGCATAATTAAAATATGTGTCATCAAAATTCAACACACACACACACACACACACACACACACACATATATATATATATATATATATATATGGGCCTAATTAAAGGAGAACTAATTAGTTTGTGATAACTGTGAGGTCCAATCTCAACTACAGATCAATAGATAAATTAAGAAAATTTATAATTTTGGTAATTTTGAATTAAAATTTTAATGGAATGACATATATGTGTTTGGGTGTCACACTGAGGTCGTTTGTGCGGTCGATCGGAGGTGTAATACAGTAGTATCATAATGCATCTTATATATGCTTGGTTATCACACTGTGTCTTTTATTTAACAGAGTCAATATTTTTAGGTATCACAGTGATATCACCGGAGGACGGAGAGGAGAGAGGAGAGAAAATACCTAAAATGTCCTTGTATTAAAATTTTAATTCAAAATTACCAAAATTATAAATTTTCTTAATTTATC